AATTCCTTTTTGGCATTTAACCGCAACTGCCTTCACAAGATCCCTAAAGGGCAGGCTTCTATCGAAAGTGATACTCAGGTACCTCCGTTTTGTTTTTTTTTTTTTTTTTTCTTTTTTCTTTTTTTATGTTACTGTTACCAATTTTGCGGCTTGGAAAATCAGCTCTTTCCATTCTATTGTCCAGATAACACCATAACACAGCCGCCTTTTCTGGGTTGATGACAACACCCCTTTCCACACACCACTCAGTTACTTTGTCTGCAGTTGCCTGTAGTTCTTTTTCCATCTGTTGCCTATTGTCTCGCTCTTCTTCTGTGCAAAAATAGACTGATACATTCTGTTTAAAATAGCAGGTTGTGGATCGCTCATGCTGATTGGCAAGACACTTGATGATACTGATGTGGTATTTCAGAAAAGAAATTATTGGTTAGTACTCTTCTTCTTCGCGATCACTGTAAACTCTCGTGTAAAGTTCTGGTTATTCGTCCACTTCTGGACTTTGATCTTGTTCCAGAACTTGAGTATTGCTGCATATCTATTTTACAGATCTTGCTTATTTGTATGCAGACTGTTGGCTCCTTGCCTCGCCGACAGTTGCACCCCGACTTTAAAGGAAGCATCCACAGTTAGTCGCTTTTTACAATATGCTTGTTACGGACTAGTATGTCTATTCCTTTTCTCCACAAACTGCGGCCCTAGAGCCAAGACAGGGAATTATATATTTAACTTGTTGTGATAGAGAAACTTGCACGTCCTAATACCATGTAGTTGCCAAGAAGCTTGTATGTCCTCCTGGAACTTGAATGTCCTCCTGGGACTTGTACATTCTCATATTTCCACTATTCGTGGTACAAGACCTTGCGTGTTCCAATAGCCTGCAGTGGTTAAGGAGCTTGTATGTCCTCGTGAAATTTGTTTTTCCTCCCGGAACTTGTAATTTTCATCATCAGGTGCCTTGCCGACTGGCGTGGGCGATCATGCCTCTCTATAATCTGCGATCTCGTGCAGCGTGTATCATTTCTCGTGCCGACACACATCCATGCCATGCCAAGTATCTTCTCTCGTTGTCTTCCTCCATCACTCCTTCTATAGATCTTTCCAGTGGTTACAACATGTTCTTTTTTCCCTCTTCTCATAACGTGGCCGAAAAATGATGACTGTCTCCTTCTAATGTCTGTGATAAGTTGTCTTCGGGCTCCCGCCTCTGGAACTTGTACATTCTCAAATCGCCACTGTCTGGAGTAGAAGACCTTGCATGATCTCAGATCTGCTCTTTTAAAAGATAGAGACATTTTTGTCTTAAAATCTTCACCAAAGAGAACTTACGACCCATGTCAGAATGCATTCCATAGTTTTTGGAAAGATCATGAGATGGTTAAAACTAGACTATGACGTGACAGCAGAAAAGCTGGAGGGAATGAGAGGTAAAGGGAGAAGTTGGCTAGGATGTTGAATAATTATGCATTGTGGCATGAAGAACAACTGTGTCATCAATTATTGTCAATAAATGTTACAGAAGGTTGTGGATAGACATGATTACCAACGCCACGTGGCATGGTCTGTAAGATGTCTTTACTCTGTAGTGAAAAACGATTGTTTGACTTTATGTTATTTACATTTTAGGGGTCTTGTCAGTAAAGAGCTGGTATTTGCTTATGATTCCATCTTATAGGGTTAGAAGGTGTGATATGTCCTCATGATTCAATCTTGTAGTGTTAGAAGGGCTGGTATGTCTTCTTGTTAGCACCTTTTAGTGGTAAAATAACTGGCGAGTCCTCGTGTTACCACCTTTAAGTAGTAGAAGAGATGGTTTGCCCTCGTGTTACTACCTTTAATTTAGTGGTAGAAGACTGGTATATCCTCTTGTTACCACCTTTAAGTAGTAGAAGAGATGGTATGAACTCGTGTTACCACCTTTTAGTGGTAGAAGAGCTGGTATGTCCTCTTGTCGCCATCTTTTAGTGGTAGCAGAACTGGTATGGATTAAAACCACTTTTAGTAAATTTCTATGGAAAAATCTTGTTGGATATTTGCCTTTTTAAATATTCGTCTTCCCTCTCAGGGTCGGATTAATGACAAATATTTGAGTTCCACTGTACATGCAAATGTCAACAATGTCTCTGTAATCTGTTGCTCTAATTGTTAAAGACTTTTCTCAGGGGGAGCGGGTCTTGCTAGACAAACTCACCGTCGACACCGGCTATGATTCTCATGCCCTCCTTTAGCGCAATATAACACTCGCGCATGACAAGGTACCAACAACAACAATGTTCGGTAGTTTGCCATTGCTTTATGAACAGCTCGGCACCCAGTCCATTATCCAAAGCAACGCAAAGCGGTTTGTTGCCGAATCACCTTGGCTGACTATAGCACAGTGTGTTGTACCTATGAAACTGTGTTCATAACCTCTAGGCCGCAGGCCTAGATTTATATCATTATATATTATCTTGATTTGTGTACACGAGATCTGCTAATATGCTAATTTGGGCAGACTAATACATTTAAAAAAAAACACTCACACACACACACGCACACACACACACAGATTTTATATCTGTAAATGCAATTTGAAACGATACATACACATTTTGACGACCAGTTTGATGACGTAAACAAAACAAAGAGACACGAGATCCACAATGTTATAAGATTAATTATAACATAAAACAGGACCGTAGAAATTACACGCTAACTCTTAAAGAACACGCGGATTTGGTTCACTTTGGATTCTAACGTATTAAGGAAGATTACAATTTGTGTTCATGGCTTTCACAGTACATCCATTATCATCATCCCGTAATATTGCATGTCGCTGGGTCATCAGTTGCTGTGTACTGTCTGATCAGCTCCCTCCACCTTTGATGGGAAGATGCGATGGACTTCACAGCCGTATGCCGAGGGCTGTCCAATCAGACACGTTCTGTATTCAAGTATTTTTGGGGTCTGCCTCTTCTCTTCTTTCCCTCCGCTGAGCCCTGTACTTTTGTTTTTAAGAGACCGTTCGATCTTATTACATATCCGTATATTTGAATTTTCAGCATTTTCACTTTTCACAATACATTAGTTTAAGTAAAAGCAAATAACCCTTTAGCACGTATTCAAGTGTATTGTGAGAGAATATGGGACTAGACCTACATTTGATAGACCAATGGGTACTCGGTGGGTGATGTGGGCAACATCACACCGGTCGCCTTTGCTTCCCATGGCTCTAAGTGGTACCCATTTAAGGCAGGGTCGACATGGGTCCCAATATATTAGTGACATTGTGTGTGGTAATAATGGGAGTATGTAAAATATATAATTAGGACACAGCGAAACAAAATTACATGCTTCGAAATTTCAGACCCCAATACTAGCGTCCTGGCCGTAAGGAAACCATACAAATGAAAATGTTTCATTGATAAAAGAAACACAGTAATGTGAACGATTAATGGAAACATTCTGCTTAGGCCGATATCGTCAGAGAGAGAGAGAGAAGCTTCATATTTGTATATTTAGTAAACTGATAAACAGTTGAGGTTTTAGTGAACTGAAATACTTCAGTCCTTTCGTTTTGGCAGACCACAAATGACGCAACGGGACATTTCAATATTTTAGATGGTTATAAGAGCGGCTTTTTCGTGTTTTCTGTGCTTCATCGCGTTTCTTCCAAGGCCAAGGTTTTCGCACGTTCACCTAACCCTAACAAAAAACTATACGCTTAATCTACCACCCCTGAAATATTTGACTGTCCCGTGACCTATGAATTTCCCCTATTTATTGTCGGCTAATAAGAAACTACCATTCTTAAAATACATCAGCCATACTAAAAAACCATAATTGTTGGGAGAAAATAGCAAAAAAAAAGAGTTCGGCTTCTCAAAGAAGGGACAGGGGAGGACCAGTACACACATAAAAGAGACACCCCGCACATAAAAGTCATCGATGCATTTGAAAAGCGTAAACTTCTTCTACCTTTTTTTTTCTTCTCTACTCCAGGAAGAAATCTCTGGAACAGATCCTTTTGTTTGCTTTGTATGAAGTACTTTTCAGTGTCTCGGACATTTATGTGGTCCATTTTCTGCGTGGTCGACCTCTGGTTCTGTTACCGTAGTTATCTGTATAACATCGCTCGCTGTGGTGCCCTGTCTGATGCTAAACTTATTACATGACTAAAACCATTTGATTTGTTGTCTATCTATCAAGTTCGCCCGGCTAGTTGGCTAAACTTGACTTCGCGACGACCGGGTGACGAACTCTTTGTGGTCAGGGTTTACGCCCAGGGGTAGGCAGAAAAGCCACCTTTCTCCCAGATTTACAGGATTTATCATGGAATCAAGGTCGTAGGGTTGCGATATCCATAGTACCGAGCCAAAGGGTTAAGAACTCAAGGTTTCTGGACATTTAAAAAGTTCAGTATTGTTCTGAGCCGCTTTCCTCCTGACTCTCCTACCACCGTTCCCAAGTCGATCTTTCCACGTTACACCGAGCATAGTACGTAAACATTCAATTTCTGTCGTTACTTGATTAGAGGAAATAGATGTAGATAGTTTGTGTTTTTTTAGGAACTATTATGAGAAGAAATGGACTCGAAAACTTGGCAACGACAGGCAATAGTGATGGAATAAAACCAAAGCACGGATGTTTTAGGCATCGATTGGTCGAGACAAGAATTCACAACTATGTTTATCATCACAAGAATGAGGTGATGAAACTTTGGAGGAAAACATTCATATTACATGAATTTGCTTGATGTGGTGTCAATAAGAAACGTCATCCTTGCATGTAGCAATGTTAAAACATATGTCTTGTCAGTGTTGCCCATTTCCTACGGCGGACTTAAGTCCCAAGGAAAGCATCATATGTTCATGGGTTCCCCCTAGAGTCCCAGTAAAAGCAAGATGCCTCGATTTTACATATCTTTTGACTACCCCTTGAGCCTCTGATGCTAAACCCCCTGGAACTCAAAGAGTTAAGCAACATGGACGTGGTCTTTCATGTCAGCATTACTTATGGGGTTGTCACAGCTTAGACTGGGCTCCTTGAGACTTCAGGAAATCAACAAAGGGTTTCTGGTACTTGAGGAAACCTTCATGCACCTGTTAAACAAAATTTACAATACTTACTGACTGCAAGATAAGTTTTAAATAAAATGCCACATTGTTAAACTGTACACAATCTTCCCTCTCTTTCTCTCTCTCTCTCTCTCTCTCTCTCTCTCTCTCTCTCTCTCTCTCTCTCTCTCTCTCTCTCTCTCTCTCTCTTTCTCCTCTCTCTCTCTCTCTTTCTCTCTCTCTCTCTCTCTCTCTGTGTGTGTGTGTGTGTGTGTGTGTGTGTGTGTGTGTGTGTGTCTCCTTCTGCCTCTCTTCCCTTCCAAGATTCCCACTGTCACGATGTACACTAATTTTTTGTTTCTTCTTCTTCTTCTTCTTCTTCTTCTTCTTCTTCTTCTTCTTCTTCTTCTTCTTCTTCTTCTTCTTCTTCTTCTTCTTCTTCTTCTTCTTCTTCTTCTTCTTCTTCTTATAACATGACTGAACAATGCAGATTGTCTCCTGATGTGGGCAATCAGTTACTCTCTTCATCTGTCTAGGGTATTCTTATAATTCATCTAGAGAACCTTTTCTCTGCAGCTTCCAAATAAACTTTCAATAATTGTCCAACTGTCCATGATTCACTTTCATATGTCAGGATAAGATTTATATAGCTTTTAAAAATTCACTTTCTCGTCTTAACTGACACAGACAGATTGTATATAACATTTTTTACCGTGTAAATTTCTACCTTTGCTTGTGCTATTCTATGTTAAGCTTCTTTAATAAATCTTCCATCTGATGTTATCAGGGTACATAAGTACTTAAAACATATCAAATTGCCTGAGGTTTGCCCCATTTACTTTATGCTGCATTTTGGAACAACGTTAATTTCCTTTGTATCTACAATTTCTTCTGTTTTTTGCTGTTCAGACTAAGACTCTTGTTTTGTCTTTCTATTACAATTATGTCAGTCATATGTTGCAGTTGTGTTTCATTTTCATCGATCAAAAACTATATAATCAGTATATTGTTAACAATCTGCCCATCACCCCATATTACTAGCGAACCAGTTATGAATTTAATTCATCATCATCATGTTACAGGTTCTTTGCAGAACGTCGCTCTCATCACAGTCTGCCTGAAAGAAACACGGTCTCTCGCCAGTTCTACCACCTCATGCACTTTCACACTCAAGGAATCACTTATATCCTGTGCCCATCTTCGTGTCCGTCGGCCCCTGCCCTCCTTCCTGGTACCATGCCTTCTGCTATAAATTTTTTTCCAATCCGTCGTGGCGCTTGATATGACAAAAATATTTCAGCTTTCGAGAAAGGATGCTGTTTATTTGATGGATTTAATTACCAGGCGTAAAATTGCAAAATGAAACCGTAAAAAGGAAAACATACTGAGGTTATTTTTCAACGTTCTGTAAAGGACACGGAATTAACTAACAGCTGCAAATATTACTAGACAGTGAAGTGAAGGACCCTTTTCCACCTCTTCAGGCGTATTGGACACATAGGGCTAAACCTATTTCTTATAGCCCTTGGCGGGTGATGTGGTCAACGTTACGCTGGCGGCCTTTACTTTCCAGAACTGTACCTGGTAACCACTCAAGGCTCTGTCGACCTGGGAGGCAAGATCATTTTAGAGAAAATGCCCGGTTCCGTCAGGGCCTGAACCCACGTCCTTGCGATCTACAGGCGAGCGACTAGCCGCTACACCACGGTGACTCCCAGATATTACTAGGTACCTGTGGGAAAAAAACCGTAAAGAAAGGTAATGCAAGTTTAAAGTACAGTGAAGAAACACAAACATATAAATTCAAACTCCCCTTTTGTGATAAACTAAGAACGGAAGCATAAAAACAATATTGTGTGGAAAGATGGACAACCATTAAATATTGGGTGTTTCTTAAGCGAGGAACGGCTGGCCAAGCGGCTAAAAACACTGGACTCTCATGCCGGGGACCCAGATTTTTATGCTCAGTAAGGCCATATGTATTTTTTTTTTTTTTAAATAAAATCCAAACTGCGAAGTCCGTAGATACAGCGGTAGCCAGGTAGCCCTAAACCATTAGGTTCACCCCCCCCCCCAAACACACACACACACACCACAACCATCACCTTTCCCCTTTCCACAGCCACCGCCTACTTTGGAAAAATGGCAGACACAAGTAGTAAATGGGAATAATAACCCCTAGTATCAGCTTCAGAAAACAGGTGTCTCAAATAACAGTATTAATTAATATAAACCGCTGTCGCTCATCATCATCATCATCATCATCATTATCATCATTAATGCCTTGCCAGCTGGTGTAGGCTTTCATGCATCTCTACAGATCTCGGTCTTTCGTGTTCTGGATTAACTCCACTGATGATATGTCTATATACCATTGGCGCAAGCCATCCACCACCACTTCTCTTGGTCAGCTTGAGCCTCTTCTACCAGGGATCTTTCCAGTCGTCACGATATTCTCCAGTGCCCCTTTTCTCATCCAATGACCAACAACTTTCTTAGTCTCCTCCTCGTCGGTTGTATATAATGATTCACTTTCATTAGCTGCTTACGGGCAATCATTGTTGGTTATTCTGGCAGTCCAAAGTATTCACAACATTCTTCTCAAGATCCACATCTCAGTTGCTTCTTCCCCGTGTGGCTTTTGGGGCCCTGTTTAGGGAAAACAAGAATAGACCCACTGACAAAAGTCGACAAATTGGGAGCTTCTTTCGAAGTCGGAGTGCTTCAGCCAGCAGTCTGCAAACAAATTAGTCAGATCTGTTAAACAGATGCACGCATAACACTCATGTTCTAAAACAGGACTGCAGTCCAAAAGTAAATGAACAACCAGAACTTTCCTCCAGAGTTTACAGCTGGTGAACGCGAAGAAGAAGAAGAAAGTTGCTTCCAACTCTGGTTTTAAAAAATGCTTCCTACCTGAGTTTTGTTCAGTCGGGAACGCTTGGCATAATCCATAAGGGCCTCGTACACATTTCCATCGTAACGCCCCAGATCACTGTCCAAAACCTTATCAGGGAAGTCAAAGGCATCCACTAACGCCACAGCGTTTGGTCTAAGAGCTGCCAGCAACTCGTACAGCTTGTTCTCCACCATCTCCAGCTGATGATCACTCATGTAGCCTCCCTGAGAGTGGATTACATGAACATATCAATACAATATTTCTTCCTACTTTGTCCGCCCTGAAAAAGGTGGTTGGTATGTTGTTTTGTGGTTGCAGCTATGGTCGCGATATCTGTGCCTTTTTGACAAACACATTTGATTGCAGTAAACTCCTCCTCCTCCTCCTTCTTCTTCTTCTTCTTCTTCTTCTTCTTCTTCTTCTTCTTCTTCTTCTTCTTCTTCTTCTTCTTCTTCTTCTTCTTCTTATTATTATTATTATTATTATTATTTTTATTATTATTATTATTATTATTATTATCCTTCTTCTTCTTCTTCTTCTTCTTCTTCTTCTTCTTCTTCTTCTTCTTCTTCTTCTTCTTTGGGTTCTTTTTCCTTCTCTTCTTCTTCTTCTTCTTCTTCTTCTTCTTCTTCTTCTTCTTCTTCTTCTTCTTCTTCTTCTTCTTCTTCTTTTTATTCTTCTTCGTCATTTTTCGTAATTTTCTTATTTGCGCTCACCGGCTATAAGCTCTGCCGGAAAGTCCTTGTTGGCTGTATGTACACTACTGTACATGAGTCTTGCATTTACACCCATTTTTACAGATATAGTTTACCTGTGTACAGACTGAGTATATATGCTGTTTAGGCCCCTGGTTGAGTACCTGTTTCTAGGATGATCGCAGAGGTGGAGCTAGGTCTGAAACAGTATCAGCTCCGGTTCTGGTGCACACAAGCAAACCCCTAACTGGATGCCTTTAACGGCATGTTTGTGCCATTGCATGTCACACGGGGTGGGCACTCTCATTCTCATAAATAATTTAAAAAACGCCCTAATAAGGAACGCAATTTTTTCGTAATTTACTCCTGAAAACATATCAAACCAAATGAAAAAAGAAGATGTGAGTTTCACATTATCACAAGCAGAAATGACAAGTGAACGCTGCGGACAGAAAGCCCTCATCTGAACATTACATGAATACACAATACCAGAAACATACACACACACACACACACACACACACACACACATTGAGTGTGGAAACTAGCCCCACGCCAAACCCTCCTCCTTTCTCAGCTGGGCGTGGGACTGGCAATGACTGGCATACCGTATCTATAGAATATATCTTTTAAAAAGCGAAAAGAAGAAGTGGCGAGGAATGGAAGTCGTGTGGCTAGCATCTGTGTATGTCTACCCAGTGGTGGTAGGTTTGAATTCCCATGTTGAACACAATTTACACGGTGTTGCCGTTTGTTTCTGTATTGTGCGTCTGTAGTACATGTGTTGCCGTGTGTACGTGTATCATTGTTGCGTTAAACCAAATGTGCAAAATAATATTAGCGATGTTAGGTAATAGTTTTGGTATTAAAACAAAGAGTGACTCCCCTTTTCATTTATGCATCGTCGGGTCACAGGGTCGCTCCTATGTTGCGGGGTGTTATGATATGGCTTTGTTCGGCGTTCACTTGCCGTATATAATTTTTCTGGGAGGATGTGTTGTCGTGAATCTCTCTGAGGCGCCGCTGGCGCCTGTGTACAGGTAAGAAGTACTGCAGGGTGAAGCATCACAGGCTTGACGGTTCGTGAGTATCGAAACTTGGATGTTTTTGTTTTTCTACGTAAGTTGGTGGTGGCTTCCCACCCTCCCAAACAATTAATCCACTGACAAGAACGTAGGCATAAAAAAAAACTGCAGTTTCTATACTTCCGAACCGTAGTGCCAGTGGCAGAAAATGCGATGACAACACGAGAAAAGAGAGAACGGTTAAAGCGTTGACATTAAGGAATATATGACACCCCCGAAACACAAGAGAAGCCCTAGAAAGGGAAGTCACTCTCTTTCTGCGGACAAAAACGTACCTAGCACCCAATGTTGTAACGTTAACATTAACAAAAAAATCTGCATATTTTCCATTGAGAGTTAAAAAATTCAGCCATGAGGAGAAAAAAAAAGACCAACGATGAAACATCGCATCAGTTTGCATTTTAAATAACTTATTTATAAAGTAACACAAATAATACAGGACAGTGAGACAAATGGAAGATAATATACACAAATGATAAGGGGACCTGTGAAAGAAAGGTAACAAAGGAAAGGGTGATTTGACAAAGCTGTGAGACTATGATGTGATTTCTCGCTTGGGAAATGTTTTCTCTCCTAAATCTGGAGATGAAACACACTAACCGGTCTCTAGTTAAGACCTAGTTAAGAATGCGAGCAGGCGACAATTTCTAGCTGTCTGCCTCAAAGGGTGCACACTGAACAATTGTGGACGGGATTAAATCGGCTACAGCAGTAGTTCTCAACCTTCCTAATACTGCGACTCTTTACTGCAGCTCTTCATGTTGTTGCGACCCCCAACCATTCAATTACATTCGTTGCTACTTCATAACTTCAGTGAATATGTGTTTTTAGGCGAACCCTGTCAAAGTGTCATTGGACCCCCGAAAAAGGGACGCGACCCAGAGGTTGAGAACCGCTGGGTTAAAGAATTTGAGTAAATTCAGAGTAACAAGAGTTTACAAACCTATTCAAATGATGAAGATAAGGATGATCTTTCTCTCTCTCTCTCTCTCTCTCTCTCTCTCTCTCTCTCTCTCTCTCTCTCTCTCTCTCTCTCTCTCTCTCTCTCTCTCTCTCTCTCTCTCTCTCTCTCTCTCTCTCTCTCTCGCTCTATAATATATATATATATATATATATATATATATATATATATATATATATATATATATATATATATATATATATATATATATAAATCGACAAAGAATGTATTCTCACCTTTAGAAACTGCCCAGAATTGCTGGCAATGCCTTGTAACGCGTACAGTTGACACAGCTGAACAAGGACAGCAGAAAGGGAGGGATCCAGTTTTGCTGAGGTGACTTTTTCTATGAAGGCCTGCACTATAAACGCCTGAGAGAAAGCCTGTGAAATCAATTATAATGATCTGTCAAAACTGCCCTTACTGCTTGCCGTGTAGGTGGGAAGATGGAAGGGGGTTGCCGTGTAGGTGGGAAGATGGAAGGGGGTTGCCGTGTAGGTGGGAAGATGGAAGGGGGTTGCCGTGTAGGTGGGAAGATGGAAGGGGGCTGCCGTGTAGGTGGGAAGATGGAAGGGGGAGGGAGGGAGGGGGGGGGGGGTCCTTTAGCCTGAGGAAATTAGGGCCGCAGGGCTCATGTTGTCCCCACTGACTGTATAGATTATTATTTCATTTTTGAAAAGACTTTTGGTAATTTCCTGCTTGCTGGCTTGCTGTACCCCACCAGGACATCACACAAGCGATAAACACCCGGGGACACTAAGTGCCACCATGCGGTCCTAGAAAACCCCTTTTAGCCGTTGTAGCCACATCTGTGGCCCAGCTATATTCAGGGCCCCAGCTAAAGCCAGAGTGGGGCTTCAAATAACGAAAAATTGCATCCACAATGGGACGACTTAGGAAAAGAAGTAAGGTAATTTCCCCTGGTCACTGGGTAGTAAAAAATCTATTGGCAGTTGGAAATCTACAAGAGTAGCCTAACGGTTCTGCCTTGGCAAAATTTGGAGTAAAAAATCTACCTAAAGTATTTCAGGATCCTCGCCGGTGCACCGGAGTTCGTGAACTGGGCTGAGATTATTCGGACTCAGATTTTAATTAGAAGTAGAGCGGAGCACTTATGGTTACTGCCCTTGTGCCATGATGTTGATTCTTAGTATAAACCATAAATCAAACCCATAAACCAGAAAGAAAAAAGAAAAAAAAACTTACAACCTCACCGATGTTCTTAACCGTTGAGTAAATTATAATTATCACCTTATTATATAATCACCTTATTATATAATCACCTTATTATATAATCACCTTATTATATAATCACCTTATTATATAATCACCTTATTATATAATCACCTTATTATATAATCACCCTATTATATAATCACCTTATTATATAATCACCTTATTATATAATCACCTTATTATATAATCACCTTATTATATAATCACCTTATTATATAATCACCTTATTATAATTAGTAAGGAAATTACCACATGTGCTACATTATAGGGAACCGAGGTAGCATGTAGATGCTTGCATGCCGATCAGAAGTTTTAGGGTTCGAATCCGCAGTGAGGTGGATTCTCTTTCACAATAATACATGGTTCTCAGGTTGACCCAGCCTAAAATGGGTACCAGATAATGTTCTGGCGAAGTAAAGGCGGCCGGAATGATGTTGACCACATCACCCACAGAGTAGCGATTCGTCTGTTAAGTATGGGGTCTAGCACTTTATGGGGCGTGGAAAAGGGTCGTTTATATTTTTTATTTGTGCCAGATGTGTTGAAGGTATAACAAGGGGTCTACAGTTAAACTATACAAAATTCATTAGTTGCGGCTTCCAATCACATGACAATCTTTTTTTTTTTTATTTTTTTTTTAGCTCTTGTAGGCTTGGGGTAAAGAAAGGTTCAAGAAGTAGATATTTATCGTATCCTTCATTGTGTCTCTCTCTTCCCTTTACACAACATTCCCCCTTAAACTTTGCTTCTAGTAATAAATAACTGATTAGAAAATTAGGTAAAATAATTTACTGGGATATATCAAGTTAAAAGAATCAAACTGGCTTCTAAGGCTCAGCAAATTCAAGCTAATGTTGTGTGCAAGCATTCAAAGAAAGACACCACGTAAATCAGCCACACTTACCACAACTGCCTCCACCAGTGACTGGGAGGATCTGTTCCAGGCTTCCGCTGCACCGACTCCTCTTCTCAGATGGCTCTGAAGTCTGGCGTTGGCTTCCTGAATTTGTCTGCAGTGTTCAAGTTCAAGATGGGGAAAACAAACGAGGACAGTTTATCAGCAAACAATTCATTTTGCTTCATTTTAAAAAAGTCATCATAAAGATACCCCCCCCCCCCCCCCCCCCCCCCCCCCCCACCCTCCCCCCCCCCCCCCCCCCCCCCCCCCACCCTAAAAAAAAAAAAAAAAAAAAAAAACAACTTTAAAAGCTGAATGTCAAACTGGGCTAACTTGGAATACTTAAGCAGATTGTGGATTTTTGGTTCTCTGTTTTTCCCTCTGGACTACTACTTGAAGTTTGGCCCAATCCAGAGAGTTCATTAATGTTATCTTGGACTGCAAACCAATACAGCAAATCTCGAATATCCCATTCAACCTCAAAGGAAGTTACAATTAGATCAGTTCTGTGCTGATAAGATTGATACGTTGGCCTACTGGCAATGAAGTCTATATAAAATGAACAGAGGGCAGTTCCAAAAACTATGTTATGGGTTAAATTATACAGCTGGGCGGAAAAAAAACACTGACTGACTGACTGACTTTCTACCCCACCAGGACATCACACAAGCGATAAACACCCGATGACACAAAGTGCCACCATGCGGATGAGGATCACCGTGGAGAGGTCCCAGAAACCGCGTTCAGACAATTGGCCATATTGATGGCCTGCCTATATTGCGGCCCCTGGCAAAAGCCAGAGTGAGGCTTCAAATAACAAAAAATTACGTCCTAAGAAGGACGTAAGGAATGTATAGTAACAAAAAGGACACTCCTGAACAGTTACTTTATTTCTACGAATAAAGGTGCAGATACTCACACACAAAAAGTGGCTGAGAATAGATGACAGTACTCACAACAAAGTGTCTTTTATAGTCGAGAAAAAAAATGATGCCAATAAAAATGTGCCGGTACTGTGCAATGCCAGAAAAACAAGCACTGCTTCTGAAGATGTGAGGTAATGGCTTAAATGTTCTAGCTATACTGACCTAGCTGCCCTGTGCTCATAAGCTGCAATAAGTTGGTCCAACTCCAGTTTCTTGGTCAACTTATTCTTCTCTCCCTTGGGTGCTTGCAGGAAGCGGGCTAAACTGGGCAATTGTTTTCCCTTTTCTGCTGCATTGTAACTCTTAATGAGAAATCTGCAACAGATAAAAAGCTCATAGCGGAGTTCTAGGAAACACTCCTTGGCGTAACTCACACATTTCCTTACATTCACCTTACGCCATACAGTGTGGCTTCAGTGGAGACTAGAAGTCCAGATTGAGAAGAATATAAGGATTATATTCTGCTCAATAGTTCCCTGGTCGCTGAGTGCTACCTATGTGTTGGCATATACAGTTGTCAGGATGAATCAGCTAGTCTGAAGCAGCAAGTAACCTTACTCCTCCAGGTCTGCAGTGTACACCCAGTCTGGTTTAGCCGTTTCGAATGTCCCAAATATAAATTCTTCTGAGACCGAAATAGAATCTTGAATTTTTTCTGTGTTGTTTTACTATTCTTCTTTGACTGCTTATATAGTGTTCATGTTTGCAGCACTTTTTTGGACCCAGAGTCCTTGTAGACTTTTGAGTGTTGCCGATTCAGTCGTCGTCTCCCTAATCCCCTTCTCGAATACCTCCTTTAGAACACTGAGAAAATCGGCTCGGTTCCAATGTCAACAGTTAGCACACAGCTGCAATACTGATATTGCTGCTAGCAATCTGATGACTTATCCTGGTTATCTTTCTTTGGTGTCCAATGTTGGTTAGATCCCCTGGTCACTCACCCAGGCTGCACCATTGTCTTCAGACCGTGATAATCTCTACGCTTTTCCGCATTTGTTTACTTACCCCTGAAAGGTCTTGGCCATCTGTTTTGTCATACATCAGTTCACGACCAAGTAGTTCAGAACCAGCGACCCTGTCTGTCTATTCATTTCCCAGCAAGCCAACATGACATAGAGAAAAGATCCCAAAGTCGCACACTACCCTGCTGTTTATCCATTATGAGCATATACCCACTTTCTCGGGGGCCCCACTAGCAAAGGGGCTCCTAAATATATGTAACATATCGACCATTTACATTTCATTTCTGTGAGTGATTGTCGTAGGAGCCTCGCAGACTGGTTTGCCCAGGGGCCCATAATGCTGATAAGACGGCGCTGCACATACCTTGCGGTCTGAAGGCAAAGAACCACATTTTCCCCTTCGTATGTGCAGGCGGGAACTTCATTAGTGTAGATTTTTGGCAAGCCACTGGCTAATAAAACACCATGGTCTCCGCATGCCAGTTGGCACTGCTCAACACCGAACATCATCTCCCAGGAGCTGAAGGCTTTTATAGCAGACGAGAGAGCATGAAGCTGAAACAGAAGACATTATACAGGGTGTCTGTTGAATGACTGTACACTTTTTGAAATCAGTTAATAACGCACCGCGTTTAAATGTGTGTTATCACGTCATGTTTCAAGCGCATGTAACTGTTAGTTAAGAATGGCATGGATATATACCGATGTTTTAGAAACTGCTCTGGATGATAAAGATGTTAACTATTGAAGAAAGAGTACTTTTAGTTGAGCGGGTGTTCTTTAAAGGTAGCAGGTAGTCGAATGTGGCTGTTCAACGATTTATGATGTCATTTCCTGATACTCAAGTGCCTAATCTAAATAATGTTAGTAATTTAACCAGTAGAATCGATCGTGAACAGAGCTGTAATGTGGAAAGCAGCACTCAAAATAATACATACTGTATAAGTATATGTTGCATAAACTCTACAGACAGTGGTTTCAAAAATAGAAACGACAGTATTTTCAAAAACAAATACTCGCTAAAAATACACCTTGCACATGCTAGCAGCATGTGATAACTAGAAATTTGTTTACACTTAAAAGGTTATAGTTAGTAACTCGTTTGTAATGGGGTAGGAAATTATAGGGAAGAGGAAAAGGGGGTAAGAAAGAACAAATAGTTCATGTTGGCTTTACAAAATCGATCCCAGTAAAGAAACAAAGGACGTTGCGGCGATTAGCCGTTATCAGCACATAAAGAACAACACAGTACACATACACAAATATGCTCTAACTATGAAGTGACTACATAGGAATCTAATGTACAAAATAAATGATACTCATCGGTGTCCCTGGCTAAAAACATCGTTCCAGAGGATGAATAGGACAGGTATTGGCCTATATATCGTGAACAGGCGGACGGTAAGCGAAAGCTTGGTCGGTATACCTAGAAAATGGGCGGAGTAGACGCCAACAAATACAACAGCGTACACTGAGTATCTAAAGGGGGAGAAAGGGGATGGCAAATATGGCGTAACCAGATTTGTGTCGTGGGGATGACACAAGTAGATCCGCATGGAATAAAAGTGTGCCTGTGCTATCGAAATTTCTAGTTTGTAACTAGAAGGTAGAAGATTTTTCATTGAAAATAAGAGAATAAAATAACGTCGCCTTTAGCTTTCACGGGCAGCCACAGGGGTGCAGCGGTTAGACTGTCGCCTGCAGGACCGAAGGTCGTGAGTTCAGGTCATAACGGGGCTTCTTTTAAAAATGACCTTGGCTTCCAGGTCGACCTAGTCTTAAATGGAACCAGCTAAAGTCCTGGTCAGTAAAAGAATCCGGCGTTATGTTGGCCCAGTCACGCACTGAGTGATGATTAGTCTAAAAAGAAAAAAATAACTGTCTAGCCCTAAATGTCTAATACGCCCGAAGACCTGGAAAAATGTTCGTACCATCTTCTCTGTCTTGAAACTGTTGATACCAGAAGTTGCCCAGACATTTCTCGTATTTCTTCACCCCTCTTGAATTCATCCCATTTTATGTCCAGCATTTCTCTCTCCGATATTTGCTTTTTTAATGCAATAACTTGTGCATTGAACTTGTTCATAATTTTATTCTGTTTGTGGCCATATTTTCCGCTGTGATGAGGCATCCAACCGCAAACCAAACTCTACCCATAGTGGTCTTTTACGACATGCTTGGTAAGGTGTGGTGTTTCTATTCTTTGCTTCTCTTGAGGTCTATGGCGACACGTTGGTGACTTTAATTTTTGTATGGGCTCTCTTTCCACTATTTAGGTTGGCTGCAATGTACTCCCACTTTTGTGTTTCGGAATGTTACGTGGCGGAAGCTCAACCTCTTTCACAGTGTTAACTCTTTCAACATTGTTAAAAGAAACCTTTTTCTTCCCAAATACTGCCCGCCACGGAAATTGAACACTCTTATTTGTTTGTTTGTTTGTTTTAGTATTCAGAAGCCATGAGTTGTTAACCCTTAGGCTCGGTATTATGGATATCGCAACCTTTCGGCCTTGATTCCATTGTAAATACCGTAAATCTAGGAGAAAATGTGGCTTTTCTGCCCACCCCCGGGAGAGAACCCGGACCACAAGGAGTTCGTCACTCGGTCACCGCGCACTCCGGTTTAGCAAACTACGCTAGAGAGCCGGGTAAGACTCTTATTTAAGAATCGTGAAATTGTTAAATACATTCACTAACCCCTAAGCCACAAAATCGCACCTTAACTGATATATCACCAGGTAAATATGTCATCTCAAAGTGCAACCCCAGGTCCCCGTTGTGAGAGACGGTAAACAGGAAAAAGTACGAGACTGCAAGGACTGGACGACGTATGGAGTGGCCTTGTGCTAGGGGCCGCAAGGAAGCCATGAAGGCCATTCTGGGTCATCCCGATTTGTCCTGGCCAAGTTGCGACAGGCCATAGCCGCCTGTAGAAAAGCTGCATGAGGTCGTGCGACAGGCCCACTGTTTTTGCCACTGCTTTTGAACGGTCAACTCTCGGTACCACTGCCGAAACCAGTGTAAGCCAAATCGTCCGTAGCAGGGAACTAACCCGGCACCCCGGCATTACGAAGCGCGTTCACAACGCCTAAGCTATAGACGGGTTGGGTATAAACGGAAACCATATATATCCGTTGAAACCTGAAGCGATAAAAGTGGAAGTGAAGTAGAAAGTAAATATTTTGACAATGTAAAGTCAACAGTTAAATAAATACAAGAGATTCAACAAAGTTAGGCTGAAAACATTTAATGCAAACTTACAACTGGCAAGTTATCGAAATCCCCAGATTCAGTCTCCTTGGTAACACTGAGATAAGCTTGTGTAGATACTTGTCCGGCCACAATTAAGGCGTATGCCGAGGCTATCAGGGTAAACAGTCGGTACTGCTGGGTCTGGAAGTCGATTACTTGGACCTCATCAGTCCTTAAAAAATGAGTCCATTGAGAATAAATATACTGAACACATCACCTTTCGAGTATGAGATTATTTTTCTTCAGCTTTCCGAGCCTTTGAGGTTTATTGCTGAAGATATGACTTCCTTCTTACATGTTATCAATGCCATGCGCCGCACCTACCGTAATGAGGCGTACGACAAACGACAACGGACATGACCCCGTATCCTCTGTTAGCAGCCTGCAGTTTACAGTGTTGGAGTTCATGCACATAACTTTCTCTGTTAGCATCCTGCTGTTTACAGTGTTTTAGTTCATGCACATAACCTTCTCTGTTAGCATCCTGCAGTTTACAGTGTTTTAGTTCATGCACATAACTTTCTCTGTTAGCAGCCTGCAGTTTACATTGTTTTAGTTCATGCACATAACTTTCTCTGTTAGCATCCTGCAGTTTACAGTGTTTTAGTTCATGCACATAACTTTCTCTGTTAGCATCCTGCTGTTTACAGTGTTTTAGTTCATGCACATAACCTTCTCTGTTAGCATCCTGCAGTTTACAGTGTTTTAGTTCATGCACATAACTTTCTCTGTTAGCAGCCTGCAGTTTACATTGTTTTAGTTCATGCACATAACTTTCTCTGTTAGCATCCTGCAGTTTACAGTGTTGGAGTCCATACACATAACTTTCTCTGTTAGCAGCCTGCAAATTACAGTGTTGGAGTTTATGCACATAACTTTCTCTGCTAGCAGCCTGCAGTTTACAATGTTTTAGTTCATGCACATAACTTTCTCTGTTAGCTTTCTGCAGTTTACAGTGTTGGAGTCCATGCACATAACTTTCTCTGTTAGCAGCCTGCAGTTTACAGTGTTAGAGTTCATGCACATAACTTTCTCTGTTAGAGCCTGCAGTTTACAGTGTTTTAGTTCATGCACATAACTTTCTCTGTTAGCAGCCTGCAGTTTACAGTGTTGGAGTTCATGCACATAACTTTCTCTGTTAGCAGCCTGCAGTTTACAGTGTTTTAGTTCATGCACATAACTTTCTCTGTTAGCATCCTACAGTTTACAGTGTTGGAGTTTATGCACATAACTTTCTGGTGCCGAGTTGCAAGGATACATCTCTTTCCAGTTAATAACTCCAAGTGGTTGTACAGCTGGCCTGAATACCATATTTCCAAGGTCTTCTTGGTCTGCCTCGCGTACTCCCATCGAATTCTTTAGTTTCAGTTGGTGTATAAAAATATCTCGCTGGAACTTTATACCCAGTAGGCCTCACGACATTGAAATGGGTCCTTCTCCTACACTTGAATAGGCCATAGCTTAGCATATGTGAGGTCTTTCGTTCCACTGAAGTTAGTCTTCTTTGAGAAAGGGGAGAGGGTCTATATCTTCACTTTCTATTTGCCGCTCCAGGTGACGAACAATAAAACTGCTGTGTTTTATACAGTATTGTTAGTTCTCTTGTATCTCACTGTATTCTCTCCAACAGAATATCAATCTCCGGCTTGCTACGTCTGTCGCAACTTCACCAGCAACCCTTAATTGTCCCGGGTATCACCTCTCACAACATGGACATGCGATTGTTTCAACCACGACATCAGTTAAAACTGAGAATAAAAATCATGTTGTAAGTTACAACTGAGAATGAATGCCATGTTGTAAGTTACAAGTGAGAATGAATACCATGTTGTAAGTTACAACTGAGAATGAATGCCATGTTGTAAGTTACAACTGAGAATGAATGCCATGTTGTAAGTTACAACTGAGAATGAATACCATGTTGTAAGTTACAAGTGAGAATGAATACCATGTTGTAAGTTACAACTGAGAATGAATACCATGTTGTAAGTTACAACTGAGAATGAATACCATGTTGTAAGTTACAACTGAGAATGAATGCCATGTTGTAAGTTACAAGTGAGAATGAATACCATGTTGTAAGTTACAACTGAGAATGAATACCGTGTGTCAGTTGCAACTGGGAATGAATACCGTGTTATCAGTAAAAACTGAGAATGAATACCATGTTATCCGTTAAAACTGAGAATGAATACCATGTTGTCAGTTAAAACTGAGAATGGATATCATATTATCAGTTAAAACTGAGAATAAATACCATGTTGTCAGTTAAAACTGAGAATGTCATTCGATACCTTACATTATCATATGACTCGTGTATTTAATTATGAACAACCAGTTAATTAATGCTGCCAAATGTCGATATAAAAACAGGAGTTAAATGTGAACATAAGATCGAGGACTGATTTTTGTTACAAAGTTGTAAGCCTATACTTCTCAGTCAAATATTTTTGTGATTTTAAAAAAAACTAAGAACCGACGCCACAACACCTAGGGCACTCCCATAAGCGCTTCGTCCCCATCTTCAACAGCAAGCGAAGAGTTACAATTCCGATGCACCTGTAAGTGATTATATATCCGCTCGCCTTTCTTTAGAATGTTGAGTGTCGACCAGATCGCATAGTAACTCCTCGCAGCGCCATTCTTCTCAAACTGTCATAATCTATTTGTGCCCCCCCCCCCCCCCCCACACTGTTTACTCACTCCCAAATGCGTCTAACTTGTCACACAGAAATGCACTACCAAGTGGTGTAAAATCGGTCAGTATATCTGCCTGCTCGTGTCTCAACACACCGGCATTTTCTGAAAATAATATCCAAAAGACGCAAACTACCCTGACGTCTTATAGAAGATGTCGCAAAAAAAAAAAAAACGAATATATGTTCGCTCTTTGTTGTTTTAGTAGGCAATGATACGTCCAATAAATTATCATTGCCGGTAGATGGTCGACGCTGATATCATTCTCGAAATCAACTTTTTTTTTTAAACACCATAATTCTTGACAATCTTGTTGCATGGCACGGAGGTGTGTCGGCACTCGAACTGATGCATGCTGCAGGAGATCGCGGAGTCTAGAGAGGCATGATCTTGCCCACTGTAAGTATAAACACACAGGCATGTTTCAACGTACCTGGCAATGATCTCAGACTGCCTGCGAACAACACTGTATCTGGTTGCTATGGTAACAGCCTTGGCCAGGGAGCGTCCACAACTGCCCACAATCTGAGATCGTATCAGAGTCATTGAACCGTAGAGAAGGCGATCGTTCTTTGGAGAGACAAATGTGCCGTCCTCCAGGACCTTCAATAGAAATGGAGTTTATGACAATTTAAGACACCTGCAACTTCTCACATGCCTTTTTATGTTTTAAATAAATTCACACAAGACACAAAAAAATCGATGTAATGAAAAATAATGTGAGTAAAAAAGGGACCCTTTTTCCGCCAGTAAAAAAAAAAACTAACATTTTAAGGCCAAACTCTTTTTTTTTTTTTTTTTTAAATAAACCAATCGGCGTTTGGTTTGTGGTGTTGTCAACGTTATGCCTTTGGTGTTGTGGCTAAGGACAGTATGGAACTGTTGTTTCCACTTACTTGGGAATGCTTCATCAGCATGTTCTCCCTTGGAATCCTGATGTTATTGAACTTCAGGAACCCGTTATCCATAGCGGCGAATCCAAACTTCTGACCAATGTCTCCAACACTCACACCTGAGAAGACCATTGGAGAAACATGCTAATATATATATATATATATATATATATATATATATATATATATATATATATATATATATATATATATATATAAATATATACACTCACATAGAATGGGCCTCAGTTTGAATAATGGGAAGACAGAAGTTATGGTGGTTTCAAAGAAACGAATTATTCCTAAATGTGTAATAAAAGTCGATGGTGTTATTTTGGGACAAGTACAGACATTAAAGTATCTGGGCACATGGATAACATCAGATGGAAGATGTATAACTGAGATAACAAATAGAATAGGACAGGTAAAAACTGAATTTTATAAAATGAAGAACATCTTATGCAATATATTTTTGTCACTGAGAGTTAGAAAAATAATTCTTGCTTGCTACATACATCCAGTTTTAACACATGGCTGTGAATCCTGGACAATCGGTAGGCAGGCCAAACCATTTCTTGAGGCCTCAGAGATGTGGTTTTACAGAAGAATGCTTAAAATACCTTGGACAGCCAAAAAGAGCAACCAAGAGGTTTTGAAAGAGGCGGGAGCCCGAAGACAACTTATCACAGACACCAGAAGGAGAGAGTCGACATTTTCGGCCATGTTATGAGAAGAGAGAAAATGGAACATGTTGTGACCACTGGAAAGATCTGTGGAAGGAGGGGTAGAGGAAGACAAAGAGAGAAGATTCTTGACAATCTTGTTGCATGGCACGGAGGTGTGTCGGCACTCGAACTGATGCATGCTGCAGGAGATCGCGGAGTCTAGAGAGGCATGATCGACCACGCCAGTCGGCAAGGCACCTGAATAACCTACCTGGAAGAGGCTGATGTGTTTCCAGATCTCGTATTTGTACCAGGAATGGTTGCATCCCACAGTCTCGACCATTAGAGGTCAGCTTGGCCATCAGAACAACAAAGTTAGAGGTCTTGCCCACTGTAAGTATAAACACACTTGTAAATATCCTAATACAGACACCTTAGTACATATTGACTGACACAAATTACAAACCGATTACATTAATGAACTTTTTTTTTTTTTAACATAGGGACATAAAGGCTGCAGTGGGAGGTGTATATATGCAAACAGAGTGATCTACATGCTTTTCAGTATACACTGAACTGTACAACATAACGGGGCGAAAGGCGGGGGGGGGGGGGGAAGAAGGGGGGGGGGCTGAGTGCTATCGGCACATGGCGTTTGTCTCGGGTGCTGGAGGTCTTGGTTTCAGGCCCTGGTGAAGGCTGGGATTTTTTCACGTGGTCTTCTAGTAATTTCCTTTGGTCTCTGGGTAGTAAGATCGGACACCGGTGTGTATTGTTGCAGAAACCCCCCCCCCCCCCCCCCCCGCACAAAAAGGCCTTTGGAAGTTGGAAATCGAAAAGAGAAGCTTAACGGGGCTGCCCGAGGAAAAAAATTTAAGTTAAAAATCTACCCAAATTTTTTTAGGATCCTCGCCGTTGCTACGGAGTTCGTGCACTGCGCTGAGATTCTTCGGACACAGGCTTGAGTTAGAAGTTGAATAAAGCACTCATGGGTTACTCCCTTGTACCCTGATTTTGATCAGTTGCATAAACCAAATTTTGTAACCCCTTGTACAACATAACCGACAACAAAACTCAGGGCATATGGAGGCAGAAGTTCATGCATGGTATTTAATAATTCTTTTTTTCTTTTTCTTCTTTTCTTCTTTGCGTTCACCACCTGTACACTCTGGCGGAAAGTTCTGGTTGCTCGTCCATTACTGAACTGCAGTCCTGCTCCAGAACCTGAGTGTTGCGTGTGCATCAGTTTTACAGATCTCATTCTCTTGAATACAGACTGTTGGTTCCTTGCCTCTCCGGCAGATGCACTCCGACTTCAAAGAAAGCTCCCCAGTTAGTCGACTCTTACGACATGCTTTTGAGGAGGCAGTGGGTCTATTCTAGTTTTCCCCACAATGGGGCCCCGGAACCCACACGGGGGGAGAATTCTTTTGACTCAGTTGATTAAACAGATTCCCCAGATTCGACATGCAAGGAACTCATATATTTGTAAGGCTATTTTCGGAGGGATAACAGCGGAGGGAGGGAAAAAGTAAAGCACTCTTTCCACGCCTTTAGACATATTAAGGCATATAAGGCAAGACCCATATTTTTATAGACCAACCGGCACTCGGTGTGTGATGTGGTCAACATCACGTCGGGGGCTTTTACTTCCCAGAGCTTTTGCCTGGTAACCATTTAAGGCTGGGTCGACCTGGGTGTTTTGATAACTGACATTACGGACCTCAAAAGGCGGCTTAGTAATTTATTGCCTTCTTACTCTTCGTACGCCATATTGTACTGTAGTATAGTTACTCGAATGTTAGCTTTTCTCTTCTCCTTCTCCGTGCTCGACGTCCCTCTCCTCATTTTGTATATACCTTGTATTGTATGGCGACACAAGGCACTTTCACCTAAGTGGGTGAAATAATGTATGTGTTTTATTTGTAATAATAAACTATTTAAAATAACATTGCCACATGACACACACGAACAGCTGGCGACTAAATAAGTGGACCAGCTGGCAAGTCATGCACCAGTGTGTACTGGAAGATGTCAGTCAATCTATCTCTATTGTCTTCTTCACTTTTACCGGGTTGTAGCCCAGTGTCGTGGTTTAAAATATTTGTTTTGAGCCTCTCGCGTGATTTGAGTGACAGTTTTCTGGATCTTCTGGCCGTAATCAGCTACTCAATCTATCCATTTTTTCCTGGGTCTTCCTCTGGCCTTTCTTCCCGATTTTCTACTGTAAAAGGCCTCATATGCAATCTGATCCGGTTGCATTCTTACTAAATGGCCAAACCACTTCATTCTCTGTCTTTCAATATGTTTCATGCATGCTCTTGTTCCAACTTTGTCTCTAATGCTGTCGTTTGTGACTCTGTCTCTTCGTGTATTGTTGGTGTGATTTGTTCATTGTCCACGTTTGGCACTGATAACATAACGTATGGATGAAAATGCTGTTGATCATCCGATGTCAGTCAATACAGAGCATATTTCATCAAATCTGAGCGGGTTAGACTGCTAAATAGTAACCCGTCTCTGACGTTAACGCGATTGCATGAACTTGAAGTGAGAGCTGGTGAAGCACGTCGGTGCCATCTACGACGTCAAGATGAAAAAAAAAAACCAACTTCTCACGGGAACAGTCAATAGAAGTTTCCTAGGACGGCTGCTGCTTCAGAGGACTGAGCACGCATGGGGATGACCGATGTGCAGTAACGTCGACTGTGATAATATAACCGGTAAACGCTGGAGTTGGTTTGCTAAGGATTGTAAGTCAACTAACTTTACACACATGTGTGTGAGTGTGTGTGTGTGTGTGAGTGTGTGTGAGTGAGAGAGAGAGAGAGAGAGAGAGAGAGAGAGAGAAAGTATGTGTGTACACACGCGCGCGCGCGCATATTAATGTTCCTGCATGTATGCAAATACCCCCTTTGAAAGTGCCCGAAAACTCACATCCACCAGGCCAGAATTTAGCTGATGTAACAGTGGGAGAGTTGATGATGAACTCTTTTGCTCTTGGATCATAGGTGGCGGTTGTTTCCAAGCCTCGCAGGAAAGTACCTACATTCAAGACAAAACAGGAATAACCTTGCCTTTCTATATACGGCATAACACCACAATTGCACATTTTACCCAGTAAAACTGTAAAAATCATCCACTGTATTTTTTTTCCTTTCTCTAACTTTGAACAAGAATCCTACTCAACAAAAAGAAAAAAAGTAGAAGAAGAAAAAGAAACCCACCTATCTTTACTGCCCGTTTTTAGCTCTTTTTTTTTGGGGGGGGGGGGGGGTGGGGGTGGAGGCATATTCTGTCTGGCTGAGAACAGACAATCGTAATTTACGCCTGAAGATTAAGAGTGTGGTGGCCAGGGCACCAGCGACTGATTGCGTAGGTTAGAGTTTTATTATGGCCACTATTATGAAGAAAAAAAAAAAGACAATTACAGTGCATTACCTCGCCTAGAATTGGAGCCTGTATCTCCCGAAAGAAAAACCAGGGTTCTCAACAGACACTCCAGTGCGAAATAATACACGACATTTAATTATCTTTAAGCGACAACGCCCTGCTGCCTCCCGCGGGAATGGGAACCAGTTTTGTGCACACGTGTCGTAATTGTAACTGACTCACAGAACATGTGGGGACAGGCATGCCCCATGCAGAGTGAATCGCTTCAGAGGTCCACGGTTGTTGGCGTCTTTTAGATATTTTCTGTAGGTGATACTGGTGTGTTGAGCAACAGTCAGACTTAAAGACCGCATGATTCAGCACCACTTGGTGCTAATCTCCAAAGAGATCAATAATGTCTACATCCGTATAATGTAGTTAGCGTCCCTTGTGTATTTTCTCTATTCATGATGGGATGTTGGGTAACGAACATGCTGACATACTGGCTTTTTCTGCGTCACTTGATGTATAACAGCTAGACATTATCAAGGCTCTCTAGGAGTGAACAGTGCGAGCTCATATAGATCATCACAATCTCAAGAGAAGTGTGTAGCGGAGGATCTGGCTGGCACGCAACACTCAGGGAAAAATCAAGACAGACATTCAATCATGCGGCTGCTGGAACCATCGGAATCTGAACTCTGCTTTGCCTGATGGAAATGTGAATAGACCGCTTGCTCGTATTATGTGGATTCCAAATTCAGCTCAGTTTAACTCACTCCTGGATATGAAACCAACAGGACTGTCATAGCCCTGTGGGACAGAGTATAGACAATACGACGTGTAACTTCATGTTTGTGTTTGACGGACCAAAAGGTGCACCAGCGGTCAGCCAGCTGAATTGACGATGTGGGAAAAACCCGAGATGGCTTGAACTCTGGTGCAACGTACACGTTTTACCCAAAGCTGAGAGCGGTTAGAATGGACGTGTGAGGCTGAAGACATTTAGATACGTGATAGATTGTAATTTGTTAGGAATTGAAAGATAGGGCCTGTTAGCGTTGTCGTCGTATGTGTTGGTTAGCTGTTGGTATTCCTCGTGTGCTTATAGTATGCAAATACAGTTGTGTTGGGGTTGTATCGTGCTTGGGTAGGTGTTCTTGTCCATGGGTTATTAGGGTTTAGCTTCGTTTTGTGCTGGCGTTGACACTGCCCGCTAATACTTGAACCACTCACCCTGCGTGTGCCACTGAGTCTCGCATGGCGAGGACCGCAGACCAGTTATCGCTGTACAACAGGAGGTGGAATCGTGTCCTCAGGTACATCCATGGGAATGGCTCGGGGTGGATAAGTAAATATAAAGGCTGCCACTGCGAGAGTTTCTTATAAGGGACTGTCCATAACTGTTGAGGTTGATTTAGGGTGTATTGTTCTTTGTTCATTAAAGATGATGTGTGTACTCCATAGGTGTGTGTTTTAAGTGTTTTCTAGTATAGTGTGTCTGTCACAGGGCCGTACAACGAGCTGTAGTTAAGTAGTATAGATACCAGGTCCTTGACAAGGACCAATGTCAGATACGCTCTTCTACTTTACCCGCGCAAGCTTTCAGTGTGACTCAATGAGTACGTTGAGGGAAATGGAGATGGTTTGGGTTCAAAAATAGTGGCTGGAGTCTCTGAAGCGATCGGGGCTGACACATGTCAGTTACATATTTGTGCCAGGGTACGCAGTCGTGCGAGGATAGAGCAAGCTGATAGGTTGACAGGTAAAGGTTCTGTGGCGGACGTGCGGGGATAGATCAAGCTGATAGGCTAGCAGGTAAATGTTCTGTGGCGGGAGGGCGAGGATAGAGCAAGCTGATAGGCTGGCAGGTAAAGGTTGTGTGGCGGGCGGGCAGGCGAGGATAGAGCAAGCTGATAGGTTGACAGGTAAAGGTTCTGTGGCGGACGTGCGAGGATAGAGTAAGTTGATAGGCTGGCAGATAAATGTTCTGTGGCGGGCGTGCGAGGATAGATCAAGCTGATAAGCTAGCAGGTAAATGTTATGTGGCGAGACGGCGAGGATAGAGCAAGCTGATAAGCTGGCAGGTAAAGGTTTTGTGGCGGGCGGACGTGCGAGGATAGAGCAAGTTGATAGGCTGGCAGGTAAATGTTCTGTGGCGGGCGGGCTAGGATAGAGCAAGTTGATAGGTTGGCAGGTAAAGGTTTTGTGGCGGGCGGTCGAGGATAGAGCAAGTTGATAGGCTGGCAGGTAAAGGTTTTGTGGCGGGCGGTCGAGGATAGAGCAAGTTGATAGGCTGGCAGGTAAAGGTTGTGTGAGGGCGTGCGAAGATAGAGCAAACTGATAGGCTGGCAGGTAAATGTTCTGTGGCGGGCGGGCGAGGATAGAGCAAGTTGATAGGTTGGCAAGTAAAGGTTTTGTGGCGGGCGGTCGAGGATAGAGCAAGTTGATAGGCTGGCAGGTAAAGGTTTTGTGGCGGGCGGTCGAGGATAGAGCAAGCTGATAGGCTGGCAGGTAAATGTTCTGTGGCGGGCGGGCGAGGATAGAGCAAGTTGATAGGTTGGCAAGTAAAGGTTTTGTGGCGGGCGGGCGAGGATAGAGCAAGTTGATAGGTTGGCAAGTAAAGGTTTTGTGAGGGCGGTCGAGGATAGAGCAAGTTGATAGGTTGGCAGGTAAAGGTTTTGTGAGGGCGTGTGAGGATAGAGCAAGCTGATAGGCTGGCAGGTAAATGTTCTGTGGCGGGCAGACGTGCTATGGACCAGGCTGATATTCAGAATTCTCTACGAGACGTAAGACGTTTGCGGGAACCAAGTGATGACTGTGAATCTGCAACCACGATCAGACTACAAAAACAACATTTTGAAAGATGTGAAGCCACACAAAGAAGATTAAGAAATCGACACAGAACTGGTGTCTATGCCCGCTACACGCTTCGGGATATACCGCGAGGGCGTGGGAGAGGGGTGGGGGTATCCTAGCACTTATGTACCAACTGAATAGTTCGATGTGCAGTGAGGATAATCTGTCGACAAACTAACTAACTAACTAACTAACTAACTAACTAACTAACTAACTAACTAACTAACTAACTAACTGACTGACTGACAAACTGACTGGCTGACTGCAGTAAATCCTTACCATAATAAGACCTCATAAGTATTTTTATTTTTGTATTTTTTTTTTTTTTTAGAAGAAAACTTGAAATTCCATTGACAGCCAAAATGGATAATCTACAAGTTTTGAGCTATAACCTCTGCCCTATACGCTGCCCTGGGCTCAAAATGAAAGACTAACAAGTTTTGAAAGATGTTAAAACGTGAAAAAAAATATATAAACACCAAAACTAATGGGGTGGGGGTGGAAAAAGGAAGAGAATGGAGAAGGGGGGGGGGGGGTTAAATCAGAGCATGATTTGACTTTTGGAACGATGTACGAAATGAAGAGACAGCGGAAGTACAACTGAGCTGAAGCTTTATTACAAATTTTTTTAGAAAAGTCTTACGGTGAATCTTTGGCCCCATCAATCATGCAAGCCTAATATAAAGCAACAATGAAATTTATAGTCTGTTTAACTCATCACTAGTTACTGTCACCACCAGTGCTGTTAGAATGTAATGGCACTGAGACAACGTACAGACAAACACTGTGCACACAAAGAGCTTAATGGGAGTAGACTAAGAGGAGGACCTGGAAGACGATGGAGGGATAAAACCCAAGCACATCTAAAAACACTACAGAGTCACCAACTGAAAAAAGAAGGCTAATCACAGAGAGGAATAGAGACAGGTGATATTTGCAGCAATGAACCTCAAGTTCATAGAATGCAGAAGAAAGAGAAGAAGAAGACAGAGCACGCGAACTGATACATGTAGCTGGAATATGCAAGATTTGGAGACGTTTGAAATCAAGCATTAGTCTTCAAGCTATTTGGCGACGATGGTGATGATGATGGTATTATTAATGATGACAGTGGTTATTATTATTATTATTATCATCATCATCATTATTATTATCACCATCATCAGCAAGACGTACATTTCTCAGTCTACTCCTTACCATGACCCAATTCAGTCTGAGCGTATGTTCCAATGATACCAAATCTTTCGGCAAGTGGTAGCCATTTTGCTCTCTGCTCATTGGTGCTCTGTTTTTCTATTGTTGGAATAAACATGACTTCATGGACGCCGAAAGGGTGAGGCTCACTAGAAAAGAGAACCCTGAAAAGTTGACAAAAGCAATCAATTATTATTTTGACCTTAAATTACATGTATATATATAAAAAAAGATTGTTTTTCGCTTTGTATCCGTAATGAGCTTTTGATATTAAAAAGACTGAAGGAGAACTTTCACGCCAAAAGCGTATAGGCAGATGATCTTAGACTCACATTTTATAGCTCAGGGGTTAGATAAAGCTCCGGCTGAATTAATGTGTCGTGAAAACATTCAGTTTTAAAAGTGTGATTACGAACACGGAAGTGTAGAAACCAGGCCGCCATTATTGCCAGTAAATACAACTTTCGCGGTATAGGAGGGGGTTGAGGGAGAGGGGTGGGGTCTTTCAAGCCTGAGGATTCTCCGTTTTATGCCACGTACTGTGCAGGTTCAGATTTTATGTTTGCCGTTGACAGAAAAACTCCCCAATCTTACCCAGGACTCAAACCCTAGTTTCCCGCATGAAAGCTGTTGCCCCGTGTTCTTCTCCGTTCGACCAGCGGCACCTTTCTGGTGCAGACGAATACGGCAAATCGCATAACTCGTACTTCCTATTCTCTTCCACCATTACCTCAGCGAGATGTTGGGGGGGGGGGGGGGGGGGGGGGTAAGGATCGTTTTGTGCGCTTTTTCTAATGCATTGTACAAGTTAATGTTTTTTTTCTGTTACGTTGCTCCTGATGGTGTTGCTTCATCTCTTTCGTTGTCTCCCCCTTGATTTGTGTTCATTATATTTCTTCAGCGTGGCTCCCTGTGGCAGGTGGTACCAGGGCATTCTCGTCAGATGGCCAAACCATCTAATTTGTTGTTCTTTAATGAATTGTGTGACATAACTCGTAATAGTTTTTAAAATGGTGGGCACGGTGTAGACTTGTAACAGTTATGATTAGCTCAAAATTGGTATCAACCCTATTCTGGAACTTCGCTAGGCAGAAGACAGTCCTCCTATCAACCAGCGTGAAAAGAATAGAAAATTTAATATTGTCTGTTAAAAAACATAATGAAGATCAAAATATGTTCTTGAATTTAAAGAAAATGAAAATAATGGATAAAACTGGTTGCCACCCAATAATAACAATAAATGGTGACGAAAATGAAAATGTCACAAACTTTGAATATCTAGGCTCTATAATAAATAGCAATGGAGACTGCCAGAAATTAAAAGGAGGATGGCCATAGCAATGCAAAGATTAAACAGCCTAAAAAGTATATGGTTAAGCACCAGCAGGGAGATCAAAATTATAATTTTGAGAGCATTCATCTTTCCTGTATTAACATACGGATGTGAGCAGTGGACTTTTAATAGGGGCTTTTAAGCTGAAATACTATAGAAAGATTCTCAGAATATCTTGGAAAAAGAAGAGGAGAAATACTGACATCTTGAAAGATCTGAACTCCTTCAGAAAGAGAGTAGGGGCTTTTTAGCTGAAATGCTATAGAAAGATTCTCAGAATATCTTGGACAAAGAAGTGGAGAAATACTGACATCGTGAAAGATCTAGACATCAAGGAAAATTGATATCAAGCGTCGCGACAGATGGAAAACATAGCAGAAGGCATGGTACCAGGAAGGAGGGGCAGGGGTCGACCAACACGAAGATGAGCACAGGATATGTGACTCCTTGAGTAAGAAGGTACATGAGGCAGGAGAGCCGGCGAGAGATCGAGTTTCTTTCAGGCAGACTATGATGAGAGCGACGTTCTGCAAAGGACCTGCTACATGATGATGATGGGCACGGGATGCCGCCTGAAGCTGCTAAACATGAGTGTTTCACTAAGGACATGCGACTTTTTATTGACCAAACAATATATGAAAAAATAATGATATGATGAAGAAAACGTTTAAACCTTCTTACTCTCGAAAGAAACGTATTTCAGTTGAATCTTCAAGTCCCAGTTGACGAATTCTAAGGACGGCAAAAGCAGACTTGCGCAGCGATTCCTCATATTGTTCTTCCCTGCTGAGTTCAGCATAGCGGCAAAACCGCTGTTCTTTGCAATCCTTAACGGCTAAATTTTCTGTTGGGGAGAAACAAATTGGAAGATATGCTAGATGCCCTTTCAGCGGACATTTGTTCTGCTTTATCTTCTTTCTTTAGAGTCTGGCCTATCTTTTAGCGTCAGGTTTTGAAGGACAACTGTTGCAAGCCTCGGCGTGTGCTGCATAGACCTGGATATTCACGGCCTTAAATATTCCATCTATCGGTGGCTTGCACTGGCAAACCGAAGCTCTGCTTCCGTTGTCTACGTGATAGGACTCTCTGAGGTGCACTATCTTGTAGCTGTCTTGGCGAACATATGCAACGGGAATGTCACAGGTAGTGAGCATACTTTGATTGTTTTCTCCTGGCCTATGCCGGCGTGGTGGGAAATTAACAGGCAGACAAATTTATTGGATCTGCACCACTGTGGGGGGGGGAAGGTGAATTGATATATGACAAGGCAGATGTGGTAAAGACCCTTTGGGGAAAAGCAACGGAGACAGAAGCGAAACAATACTATTTTGGACTGGAGAGAATGAGGCACATGGGTGTAACCAGAGGCTTTGGCCTGCTCACTACACTCAGAGGAAAGGCAAGACATACATATAACCAGATTACGACTGGTAATATTAGTACTGGAACTCTGCGTTAGCTGCTGAAGATGAGAACGGAGATCGCATGGGAATGCCCCGAGCTCTGTGATGTCAATTCTTGACTCAACTCAACATGTACGAACAATCTAATTTGTTTGTGAATCCTGATATAGCTTAGTAATGTTTCTGTTCCCACTTGTTCCTGATATCGTCATTTCTGATCCTGTCTCTTTAATTACATTTAAGACATGTCGTACACTTTTCATTTCTGGTGTTTTTAATAGACCATGGTTAGTTCCCTTCTGTAAATGCTTTTTCTTTTATGCATAATTGTTTTTGAAAAAAAGAGACAAATCAGGAAGAAAATGAAAAAGAATATGAAAGCGAACCGATGACAATAATAACCAAATAAATAAACCCTTTATATAAAATATACTCAGTCAATCAAGCAGCGTGTCCATACAGAACGTCGCTCTCTTCACGGCACGCCTGAAAGTCCCTCTTTCTCTAGCCAATTCTCCAGCCCTCCGTGCTTTCATAGCCAGTGTATCTTCAAGTTCCTGTATCCACATTTGCGAAGATCGGCCTCGGCCTAATTGTCCAGAAACTGCAGCCTCCATCACCGATCTCTCCTGACCACCACGCTGCTTGACATGTCCACAAACACCCCAGCTTTTAGGAGAGGGTGTTGTTTACCAGCCAGTTCTCGTTCAGGTCATGCAGGATATGGACGTTGTTTTTCTTCTTGGTTCATGGTATTCTAAGTAGTTTTCTGTAGCATTTAACTTTAAAGGCTCCGGTTTTCTTCTTCAAAGACTAGGTGAGAGTCAATGAGTCACATCTATAAGTTGCCACGGAAAAGATACAAGCAGAAAGGGGACAAAAAAGCAGACACAATTTTGGGGTTCTTTTTACGTTTTCCGGCTCAAATACACACTGGTTGACCTTTCACTCATGCTTGCTCACCTGTAAGATGTCCTAGTCTATGTTACAGGGTTGCCACGTTGTACTGTCTTCGCAAAGATTTCTGAGTTGTGTGTTACTCGTTGTTACAGTAGCGGCTTGTGATGTTGCGTTATTACTCGTTGTTTTGATCAGCGGCCGGCGAGAAACCACGGGTCCTACGCTGCACTCTCTCGTGGGACGTAAGCTGACGTGGGGGTGGGGGGGGGGTGGGGGTTGTTGTTAGGGCCAGTTATAGATGTTGCGAGTTCGTACGTGTAATATAGAACACGCCAGTGATAGCACGTGACAACCCTGCAACATCGCCTAGCCCATGTGACAGATGAGCAAGCATGAATGAAAGGTCAACAGAAAGGTCGCCGAAGAGTACGCCCCCCCCCCCAAATCACGTCAGTTTAGAGACCCCCCGGGGGGGGGGTATAATACATTCTGTATGCAAAATCACATGTATTGCTACTTACGTAAGAAGCGCTTTCGTTTAGTCTTTTCGGGTCCATCGTAAATAAAATATGTGAGCAACAAGGGATCAAAAGTCGCTTGTGTTCTAGCACGGGCTAGGTCAGGATTCACAGCTGCCAACGCCATTTGAACAAGTAAAACCTAATGAAGACTCGCTGGCCACTGTTTTTCCTCGTATGCAAGAGTCCTTAAAATTGTTGTGCATCGTCCAAAGTTCGTTGTGTTGGCTTTATTCAGTACCATTATTGTAGTAGCCCGAGATCAATAACTACACACGTACCTCTAACAAGATCCATATTTTATGTCGCCTGAATGGATGATAATTTATACTGCTGTCAAATAAGCTGGAAAAGAAGTTTGGCTTTAAAAGAGTGGAAAATCAATAGGTGTTTTGACACATGTAATATGGCAGGCAACTTGCATGCATAGCGAAGAATTTAGGACAGGGCTATTTCACTTGTGACCCGCACAGACCTGGCAAGTGGCCCACTGTTCACTTCCAGTTGTTTTATATGAATCCTCTTTCCGTGCTGTAACGAGGCGAGGTGTGGGTCAAAGTGTCTGAGCAAGTTTCAGACTTGTGTGGGGTTCTTTTCACTTTAGTTCGTGAGTACAGGGACTGGCCAGCTGGTGCTGCAGAATCAGAGGTTCAATAATTGATTCATGACAATTCCCGTCCAAGTGATGTGATGATCTATACAGATTGCTCTGTGTAAAAGGGGGTGGGGGGGGGGGGACAGACGAAGTGCATGTGAGCTCATAGCCAAGAAAAATGGGTGTCGCTTAGTGCAACAAAGTCTGGCATTTGAAATCATAACGTCTAGTTTGAGAATGGAGGTGAAGGCAGTAACTGATGCCTTCCGCTTGCTTGAAAATTAGCTGTACACACATGCCGTGATTGTAACAGACATAAAGAGCATGCTGAAAGATAAAGACAGGCATGCTCGGTGCAGAGTGGCAAGCATCACTTCAGAGATCCCGGGTAGTTAACCTCCCTATGATTTTTCTCCAGAATATGCCGGTGTGTTAGGAAATGAGCAGCAAGATAGACTGGCCGGTTCTGCACCACTTAGTGGTGAACTGATGTATGACAAGCTAAATGTTGTGATAGGCCTTTGGGAGCGAGTGAACAGTGCATAGGCACAAATAGAACATTTCGGTCTGAGGAGAATGGTGCTGCAAGGAGTTATCAGGGGATCTAGCCGACGCTCAACACTTAAGCGAAGGGTGAGACGGATATACAATCAGACAGTTACTGGTATCATCGGAATCGGAACTCTTCGCTTGCTGCTGAAGACAGGGATGAAGCGCTTATGGGGGTGCATTAAGTGCTGTGATGTCAAATCCGAATTCAACATCCATGCTGTGGCTTTGAGTTATCTGGTCCGCGACGATCCCAATTTTCAACATTTTGGCCACTAGTAAAACTAGTTGAATAGTCTAATCCAGGATATAATTACACTTCAGTCACAAACATTCACATGAGCTCTCTCAGACGAAGACGGAATTTGACACATTAAGGCAAACCTTTTGGCCAGAAAGAACAACAGTGGAACGTAAATGCTATGGACCACTGAATGAACTGACAACAGTGAAATGTATACAAGAGACTTCTTCTTCTTCTGCGTTCGACATCAGTAATGCTAAACATTGAGTCCCGTCTGGGTCACAAATAGGATTGTGCGTTTAAGGTCGCCACCGGTTCCCCCATAGCTTCTCTTTCAATGGGGCTCCCTTGGGCCAGATCCACAGTCTTTGCTGGGAGAGGTAAGGGCAGTACTGTAGTATGTGCCCAGGGGTCTGCCTTTCTGCTCCACAATCACAGGTGAGCAGATTCTTTTATGCCTATCCTGTACAGGTATGCTCGAAGACCACAGTGTCCAGTCCGAAGTCTAAAAATTGTTGTTTGTTCTTTCCTGTTAGGTTTGTTTATGTTGTCACTCTCTGGTCTGTAATTTTCATTCTGCCTTCTCCACTCCCGCTTGAAAGACTGCTTTAGCGCTGTTTTGGTTTCCTTGTAGCTATGTGGGGGATAAGGTTGTGGAAGATTACTCCCAGCTTTTGCCAACTCATCTGCTCTCTCATTTCCTTGAATACCACAGTGGGCTTGTATCCACTGCAAGACCAGTTCTGCTTCCTTGGAGAGTGAGCCAATGTTGGTCCTTAGATCTGCTATTAGTGTGTCTTTTTTTTTTTTTTTCTTGATAGTGCTTGGAGAACAGACAATGAGTCACTAAGTATAACAATTTTGTGCCCTCTGTGTTCTTGATTGATGAGATGTTGGACTGCAGAAAGGAGGGCAGTTGCCTCAGCTCTGAAGTTAGTGCAGATGTCACCTGCTGGTAGAGAGAGAGAGTTTCTGCTCTACTGCTAGAGGGTTTAATGTATATTCCACAACTCCCCTTTCTGACTGCATCTATAGCAGAGCCGTCGGTGAAAACCTGAGTCCAAGTGGTGTTTGGATATTTATTATAAAGCATAGCAAGAGCCAAGGTTCTCTGTTGTGTCTCCGTCTGGTCATCTTTTGAAGTGATTCCTAGTACCTTTAGGACTACATTTGCCTTCTCTGGCTTACTTGTTCATGGTTCTGGCCTAAGTTTTTCGCACAGTGCTACATCTCTTTCAAGCAGATCTTGGTGCTGTCTGTACAGTTCTCTAGCAAGGTGGTTGGGGCTCTGACGCTTCAGTCTGTTGTTTGTTCTCTCTTGAAATTTAAAATGCAGTGGGTGACTTTCAAGTCTTTTTAATATCTCATACTGAAAAGAGTATTGTATTGTCTTCTGAGTTCGAGTGGTTCAGTATCTGCTATCCTCTCTATCTCTCTGATGGGGGTGGTTTTCATGGCTCCGAGAACAATCCTTAATTCTATATTCTGAACCTTGTCCAGTTTTCCCATTGTTGTCTTGGCTGCTGCAGCCCATGCAGTGGAGGCATATTCCATGACTGGCCTGACTGCTCCAGTATATACTTGTTTTAGGATTATGGAGTTAGCGCCCCATGTGGTACCCGCTAATTTTTTCATCACTGCAAGCTTCTTGAATGCTTTCCCCTGTACCGCTTCTACGTGTGACTTCTACGTTAGTAGCAAATTAAGTGTAACGCCAAGAAAGGTGGGAGTGTCAGTCTGTGGAATGAGCTGGTTTTTTATCCAAATTTTGATTTTTTTCTTTTCTGGGGGAGAAAGAGAAAAGTGATGCTGTGCTTTTTGAATTATTTAGCTTTAGACCCCACTTTTCGGTCCAGGCTTCTACATTTTCCACAGTTTGCTGTAACAGATATGAGGCTGTGGTAGTGTATTCATAGTGTACTCTTGAATTAATCTCATTTTATGTCTAACATTTCTCTCTCCGTTATTTGCTTTTAAATGCAATAACTTGTGCATTTAACTTGTTCATAATTTTCTACTTTTTGTGGCCAAATTTTCCCCCGTGATGACGCATCCAACCACAAACTCAACTCTACCCTAGTCGTCTTTTACGACATACTTCGTAAGGTGTGGTGTTTCTATTCTGTGCCTCTCTTAAGGTCAATGGCGACACGTTGGTGACTTTCATTTTTTGTATGTGCTCTCTTTCCGCTATTAAGGTTGGCTGCAATGTACTCCCACCTTTCACATTGTAACCTTTTTAACATTGTTCAAAAAACGTTTTCATTCCACAAATACTGCCCGCCACTGAAATTGAACACTCTTATTTAAGAATCATGAAATTGTTAAACACATTCTCTAACCCCTAAGCCACAAATAGCACCTTAACTGATATATCACCAGGTAAATATGTCATCTCAAAGTCCAACCCCAGGACCCTGTTGTGAGAGACGGTACAAATGAAAAAGTACGAGACTGCAAGGACTGGACGAAGTATGGAGTGGCCTTGTGCTAGGGGCCGCAAGGAAGCCATGAAGGCCATTCTGGGTCATCCCGATTAGTCCTGGCCAAGTTGCGACAGGCCATAGCCGCCTGTAGAAAAGCTGCATGAGGTCGTGCGACAGGCCCAGCGAGTGGATTTTTTATCGCTAAAGAGAATACAGTGAGGTATATAAAGTTAGCGGCATATCCTTTACAGGACGTTGCAGAACCAACCCCAGCATTTACTGGCTGTTGTGGTTTTTCTAGGCAAATTTTTTGTTCAGTAGCTTGCCACTGCTTTTGAACGGTCAGCTCTCAGTACCACTGACCAAACCAGTGCCCAAAAAATCGTCTGTAGCAGGTACGAACCAGGCACCGTGGCATTACGAAGCGCGTTCACAACGCCTAAGCTACAGACGGGTGAGGTATAAACGGAAACCATATATCTCCATTGAAACCTGAAGCGATAAAAGTGGAAGTGAAGTAGAAAGTAAATATTTTTACAATGTAAAGTCAACAGTTACATAAATACGAGAGATTCAACAAAGGCTGAAAACATTTAATGCAAACTTACAACTGGCAAGTTATCGAAATCCCCAGATTCAGTCTCCTTGGTAACACTGAGATAAGCTTGTGTAGATACTTGTCCGGCCACAATTAAGGCGTATGCCGAGGCTATCAGTGTGAACAGTCGGTACTGCTGGGTCTGGAAGTCGATTACTTGGACCTCAACAGTCCTTAAAAAATGAGTCCATTGAGAATAAATATACTGACCACATCACCTTTCGAGTATGAGATTATTTGTCTTCAGCTTTCCGAGCCTTTGAGGTTTATTGCTGAAGATATGACTTTTTCTCAGATGTTATCAATGCCATGCGCTGCACTTACCATACTGAGGCGTACGACAAAGCACATGACTGATGGACATAGGGGTGCAAGAAATGAATATTTCATCAAGGGGACAAGACGTTGCAAATAACCAACACAGAACAGGCGTCATTAGTCGTTTTACACTTGTGGAGCTCTTGAGGAGGAGACTGGAGCACCTATGGATATGTCCGGAGTGCTGTGATGATAATCCTTTCTAATCACTAATCACTGTGACCTTAATCTCTGTGATTGGCCTTCTCTTTCTAGTTGATGTTCTTCTAGTATACTTCTGTCAGACAATGTGAAAGTTATCGTGCAGTCCGTAGCTCCTCGTGTAACATCAGCTGTGTCTAAATTGCGCTTGGAACAGACCAGATTGCTTCTCTGTTAGCTTCCTGCAGTTTACAGT